AATAATAATAATAATAATAAATAAAATAAGACAGAACAGTAGAACTTGGATTATAGTCTCATCCATGACACCTGGTGCCCCTGTGAGAAATGAGGGGAATCACTCTGGGAAATAAACAGATCTGTGGCTGCCAGGGTGCAAAGGGAGGGGAAGATGGTGAACGATGCTAACTGGACATGAGGTTTCCATTCGGGGTAATGAAAAAGTTCGGAGCTGCACTGTAGGGACTGCTCAGCACTGCGAATGTACTCAGTACTCAGCACCACTGAAATGCACACTTGACAACGATGACAAAAGTAACTCTTGGCCAGGTGCACTGGCTCACACCTGTAATCCCAGCACTTTGGGAGCCTAAGGGGTTCGAAACCAGCCTGGCCAACATGGTGAAACCCCATCTCCACTAAAATTACAAAAATTAGTCAGACGTGGTGGCACATGTCTGTAATCCCAGCTACTTGGGAGGCTGAGGCATGAGAATCGCTTAAACCCAGAAGGCAGAGGTTGCAATGAGCCAAGAACACACCACTGCACTCCAGCCTGCTGGGTGACAGAGCGAGACTGTCTCAAAAAACTAACAAAAAACCTTTTATGTTATGTGTATTTTACCACAAGGGAAAAAAAACACAAAGAACTCATGAATCCCTCCGAACTACTTGGATCTGTGGAAAACACGTCCATGGATTGCATTTGGTGTACACAGGGATGGAATTTGGTTTTGTTTTTTTTGAGATGGAGTCTCGCTCTGTCACCCAGGCTGCAGTACAGTGGTGCAATCTTGGCCCACTGCAACCTCCACCTCCCAGGTTCAAGCAATTCTTGTCTCAGCCTCCCAAGGAGCTGGGAATACAGGCGCCTGCCACCATGCCTGGCTAATTTTTGTATTTTTAGAAGAGACAGGGTCTCACCTTGCTGGTCAGGCTGGTCTCGAACTCCTGAGCTCAGGTGATCCACCCACCTCGGCCTCCCAAAGTGCTAAGATTACAGGTGCGAGCCACCACGCCTGGCCTGGTTGTTATGTTTTAATTTTAAAATATTGTTTAGATAGAGATAGGGTCTTGCTATGTTGCCCAGGCTGGTCTCAAACTCCTAGCCTCAAGTGATCCTCCTGCCTCGGCCTCCACAGTGCTGGGATAAGAAGTATGAGCCACTGCGCCCAGCAAGAAGCATAATTTGAACTACGTGACAGCTTCAAAGGGAGGCTGGAAATCACTGTCATGAAGTCTACATTGTGGGAGTGAAAGGATGGGCAGGCCCAGCCCACAGTGACCCCACAAGCACTCAGCCACCACCCCCACCCAACTCCGCAACCTTCAAGAAGGAAGCACTCAGATACCAACAGGACATATTTCAAATAGTTTAATTTTAAAAATATTCTATTCAGTGCTAAAATATGTCTTCACTCACTGTTGCCCATTTCCATTTTCTTAAACTTTTTTGAAACAAAAAATAAAATCACAAAGTTCAATTTAACATGCAGATTTCAAAGAAAAGGGAGCTTTCTAGAAACTGAGCTGAAGGGGTACTGTGGGGGATGGGTACTGTGTCAGAACCTCAAATTCTTGCTGGGGCAGTTTGTGGCAAGAGGCAGGGATGTTGGAATGACAGGTACAGGTGAGAACAAAGAAAGCTGTGTGTGCGGACGTGTGTGCTGAGGGCAGGGGATGGGGACGGCGGCCACAAAGGACTGTCAGCAGCTAGGGTGCCCGTGAGAGGCAGGACCACCTCAGGCATGGGCAGAACTGGCAGGACAGCAAGAAATCTAGACAGACTCTCTGCCCTTGTGTGGAGAAAAGCCCTTCCCTTCCCTCCAACGTCTCTACCCAGTCCTTCCCCAACAGCAGCCTACAGGGCCCCCAGTCCTAGGGGAAAGTCCGGGAGTCTACAGTCTCCATTCAAGTTCAAGTAACCCGAGGCACTCTCTTCTAGAGGGTGACTTCCACATCTCTCTCTTCTCGCAGAAGCTGCCAGCAGCTCTGTCCAGAGATTCTGGAGCAGAGACTGCTGCCTGGAGGTGACAGATGAATCTTGGGGTGGCCGATGCTCCAGCCACCTTGGGGTGCAAAAAAGACATGAGCGCTCCTCTTCTCGGGAGCAAGTAGACACAGGTGCCAGGGACGGGAAGATGATGCTACAGCCCCAAGTCCTACGCCAGCCTTCCAGCCCGGAAGGCTCATGTGTGCAGGCTCTCGACCCCAGTGCTTGCCCTTACCCCAGCAACGCAGCGCGGCCAGAACCAGAATGCAATAAATAGAGGCAGGGCCAGGAGGCAGAGGGCCAGGACGGTGCTAGCTTTCTGAGGCCGTCTGCGGCACTGTGGGTTGGTCCACACAGAAGCGCTTCAGGGGTGGGGCACCTGAGTCTTCCTCTTCCTCGACGACCTAGGAGCAGGCAGAGTATGGAATGCCAGGGCCACCCCTCCCAACCAGAACCTTCCCACCACCTGAATTATAATGGGATGCCCACCCTGCTCCTTCCAGCAGATGATCAAACTTCCTCCCCTGCCTACAACCCGGGGACTCATTTCCAGTGCTGCAGATCCAAGCCCACATCCAGTCTTTCCTGGTTTTTTGACTTAGAAACTGGGAAGCCTGGCCAGCACAGTGGCTCACACCTGTAATCCCAGCACATTGGGAGGCTGAGATGGGCAGATCACTTGAGCTCAGGAGTTCAAGACCAGCCTGGCCAACATGGTGAAATCCCGTCTCTACTAAAAATACAAAAATTAGCCGGGTGTGGTGGTGGGCGCCTGTAATCCCAGTTACTCAGGAGCCTGAGACAGGAGAATCACCTGAACCCGGGAGGCAGTGGAGGCTGCAATGAGCCAAGATTGTGCCACTGCACTCTAGTCTGGGCAACAGCGAGACCCTGCCTCAAACCAAACAAATGAAAAACTAGGGCCGGGCGCGGTGGCTCAAGCCTGTAATCCCAGCACTTTGGGAGGCCGAGGCGGGTGGATCACGAGGTCAGGAGATCGAGACTATCCTGGC